GGAACTACAGGCGCGCGCTACCACGCCTGGCTAATTTTTTGATTTATTGTAGAGATGAGGTCTCGCCAAGTTGCCCAGACAGGTCTCGAACCCGAGGGCTCAGGCAATTCACTCACCTCGGCCTCCCAAGGCACAGGATTACAGGCTGAGCCACTGAGCCCAGTTATAGTAATAATTTTTAAAACTTATTGGCTGGGCTGGGCTCAGGGGCTCAGCCTGTAATTCCAGCACTTTGGGAGGCCAAGGTGAATGGACTGCCTGAGCCCACGGGTTCGAGGCCAGCCCGGGGCAACTTGGCGAGACCTCATCTCTACAATAAATTAAATAAAAATTAGTTCCAGCTACTTGGAAGGCTGAGGTGGAATGACTGCTGGGTGGTCATGAGTGTGCCACTGCACACCAATCTGGGCAACAGAGTGAGATTACAACTCAAAAAAGATAAAAATGATTGGCTGGGTACAGAGGCTCATACTTGTTACTCAGTACTTTGGGAGGCCGAGGAAGGAGAATCATTTGAGCCCAGGAGTTTGAGCCCTGCCTGGGTAACACAGCAAGACTCTGTCTCGAGCTGGGCTCGGTGGCTCAGCCTGTAATCCCGCGCCTTTGGGAGGTTGAGGTGAGTGGATTGCCTGAGCCCGTGGGTTCGAGACCCGCCTGGGCAATTTGGCGAGACCTCATCTCTACAATAAATCAAAAAATTAGCCGGGCATCGGTAGCGCACGCCTGTAGTTCCAGCTACTTGGAAGGCTGAGGCGGAAGGATCGTCGGAGCCCAGCAGGTCGAGGCTGCGGTGGCCGGGAGCGGCCACTGCACTCCAGTCTGGGCGACAGAGTAAGACTCCAACTCAAAAAAAAAAAAAAGACCCTGTCTCTACAAAAAACTTTTAAAAATATTGACTGTATACAGTGGCATGTGCCTGTATTCCCAGCTATTTGGGAGACTGAGGTGAGAGGATTACTTGAGCCCAGGAGGTCGAAGTTGTAGTGAGCTGGGATCAAGCCATGCACTCCAGCCTGGATGATAGAGTGAGACCCTGTCTCCACAAAAAAATCTATAGTAACCTTTAACTGACCACTGTAAATGGAAAAGCAGTTAGTCATTGCTAATTAACATTGTTAATTAACACTATCTTAAAGAAATAGTCCAGCACAGCCTGGCACCACGCTAAACTCCCCTGCCTAGCATTATAAAACTTTCCTCCAGCTTTTGCCTCTTTGCAGATGAGTTTCCCTTTGCTGCTGCCGTGCCCACTGTTTCCTTGGCCTTTAATAAATCTGCTTTTCTTATTCACAGCTGTCTTGGTAAATTCATTTACCACCCACAACTCTGGCCTCAATTGGTCATATGCATGATAATAATGACTAAACTGTTATCTTTCACACATTGCTGCATACCAACCATCCTGAAATAAACTGTGGGACTGATCCTTTAAGCATCAGGTATTTACCTCACCTTCATGATACCATTTCACACCACGAGTTCAGTAGTTATAGAAATTGTCTTATTTTAAAGAAGAAAAAGAAAATAGGGAGGTGTTCAAAGAAGCTGGGAGCATGGCTTGCCCACACAACCAACAGACTCAGATGCATGGGTCACACAACCTCTTTTAAACATCATGCTAGGCAACCCAAGCTTTCCCAGTCAGATTCTTTCTCCCAGGAATTCATAACTGGGATCAAGCTAGTGAGTCAGAGTTGTTTGCTTAAATGGAAAAATATGTTCTCCATTTAAGAAATGTATTTTGGGACCAAGATGTTGAATTGGTTTGACTCTTATTTCTGGCTCCTTTCCCCGTGATCAACCTTAGAGGGACACAGATGGAAAAAAAAAAAAGAAACTCCAGTGGTGACAGGGTTGGTGAGAAGAAGAATGGGTGGGTGGGGATGAGGTAGTGTGACATTTTAGCCTGGTCTTTGTGGGAGGTGGTAGTTTTGGCCTGGACCAGAGGGCAGTGCATCATAGCTGTAGGAGAACATACAGAAGGCCTATTTTGCTTCCAGTGCCTTAGTTATCAGCACCTGCCCTCACACTTGTTCAGATGTCCTTAGGCATAAATAAGGGTAGTGCAGGAGTCTTGTGCTTGTGAGAAACCCAGAAAAAAAGGTAGGGGCCAAGTGATCCTCCCAGTCCTTCTCCACACATCCAGGGTTGGGGAATGACAATCTCAGAAGTGTCTCCCACTAATACTGCTTCTCCCTGAAGGACAAAGGAGGAAGATCTGACCTGATAGAGGTGCTTTGGGGAGTGTGAATTGTTTAAGTCATTTCCAGGTGCCTAAGGATCTCCACATTTGGGCTTATTCAGTCTATCTTCTTGAGCTCATTCAGTTGTTGAAAACTGGGATCTAGCCTTTTCCCTATTCACACTGCCATATGGGTTAGAATAGCTGACAGTTGCAGGGAAAAAAAGCTCAGAGCCCAAAATACTAAGTATTTGAGAAACATAACCATAAAAAACCCCCAAACAAAGGATTATAGATTCAAACAGAATATTAAAATAATAGACTAAGAACTATTTATACATGTAAAAGAAATGAACAACATGTAATATTACCAATATGAAACAAGAACAAGAAAATATTAAAGGAACCAAGCAAAAATTAGGGATGAACATTCTAACAGATGATTAAGAATACAATAGATGAGATACATTTGAGAAAAAATTAGCTAATTGGTATTCTAGACTGAGGAAATCTCCCAGAAAGGAGGAAAGGACAAAGCAATAATTTTAAAAGCGTCCTGAATTAAACAGAAGAATATACAAAGGAAGATAAATCAGACAGATTTTTTTGCAAAAAAAGAAATAAAGTAGTGTTTTCAAGATTAAAGGAAAATACACTTAGGATTTTCAACAAAACTGTCCTTCATATATAAAGGGATAATTTTCAGGTATTTAGAGTCTCAAAAATTTTGCCTACCAAATCTTTGGAAACAGTGTTGGTTGAGATCCTTAAATAAAGGGACAGAAAACTCCAAAAGATGCTACAAGAGATATATAAAGAAAAGATGGCAAAATGCCTTGATATATTTATGGTTATCTTAAAAAAAAAAAAAAAAAAAACCAAGGCCAAAGAAAAAGTAAAAATAAATCAATAATGTCCTTGTTTAGGTAATAGTAACACAATGGGAATGAAGGGGAGCAAGTTCTTTTCTTATTGGGGAGTTTTGCATATTAAATATTTTAATAAAAAAAAGAAAAAGGTTAAAATGAAACAGTGAAATGTTTCAAATTAAAATTGAAATAATAAATGATAATAGCAGAAACACGTCTAAGTTATAATACATGCAAACCCAACAAAATTTCTCTATAAATGCTATTTCAAGAAACCTATCTAAAACATAGGGACATATGAAGGTTGTAAAAATTGAAAAAGAAAAACCAGGCAATTATGAACTAAAGATACTTGGCATAGTTATATTAATATCAGATAAAACAGACTTTAAGGAATTTATTTTGGGGTGGCCAGATATACCCTGAAATAGTGAAATCTGGTGGCCAATGAGAATATGGCAGGGTCGAGAAGTACAAGAGGCAGCCTAGGTTTTCAATGGTTCTGAAGGTCCTGTGTCTAGCTGTGAAGCTACCCTAGTTGCTGTCTTTCAGTTCCCTAAGATACTCAGATACTCTTCCAATAATTTCCCTTTTTAAAAAAAGTTAATTGAAGGAGACTTCTGTTACTTGTAGCCAAAAGGGTTTTACTACAACAGCACCCTCTGTGGGTGCTTAGTAAATATAAGTTAAAGAGAGGCCTGAACATAATAAGCTGACTCACCATCATCAGGTTTCTTCACAAATTTGACTCCCAGTTCTTCAAATCTTTTACAAGCACCATGTACATCAGGAACAGCAATTCCAATGTGACCTTAGGTGACACCCCCAAAAAATGCAGAGAAGGAAGAAATAATTACAACAGGGTATCTAAGTGCCACAAGTGGCTTCCAAAACTTGTTTATTTCAAGATATAAGGCACTTGGATACAGACTAATTCAAGTAGGTTCAAAACCTATAACTTACTAAAGAACAAATATAGTCTAACTGGCTGGGTATAATGAATTAATTAGTTACTCTGAATTATAAGTTATTTAAAATATACCAATATTGGCTCATATGTAGTCCAATCTGTTAAGAATAATTTATAACCAAGAAAGAGTAACCATTTACTTATACTTGATAGGTTTGTTGCTGTCCTTGACCAAATAGAGCCAACTGAAGCCTCTAATCCTGTCATTTTAACTGAGAGTTTTTTACATCAAAGCATAAGTGTATGCCAGCAGAAACTGGGATTAGTATTTAACTATAGCTTTTTTTTTTTAATGAAAAAGTCTACTGGAAATATAATACTGAGACTTAAAAGTAAGATCACTGTGAGAGTAAATTTAATGTTTAGATTGAGACTCTGAAGTTAAATAACTTCTAAATAAGATTATTTGTGGGAAATAAAAATTATCATATGATTACACTTAATAATTATGCCATTAACATTTATGGTTTATTATAAACATAATTATAAATAGGCAAACATACCAAATCCTCGAGGGTCTGAATTGCCACTGTGGTAACTCTGGGTCTCATCATCTTCAGTGCCCCAATTGCTACAAAAGGAGGGAAAGCATAACTACAATGTCCTACAGAACAGATAATCTGAAAAGAAAGTGGTAATAATCTGTCTTTGAAATCTTACAATGTGTCTATCTTACTTTACATTCTGGGCTTAACTCCTTCTACTGCAAATATTAAAATTTCAACAGTAAAAAGGGCAAATGGGCAAAGTATCATTTTAACTAGACTGAAAAGACCATAAAACCAGGCAGTGGATAAGAACAATAATGAAATAATAGCAATTACTTTATCGGACAAAGTACTTTATATTTCATTAAACCAATAGCTTCATGGGCTAAATATGAAATTCTCCATTTTATAGATGAAACTGCCGGTTATTTGTTCAAGGTCATAGAACTAGTGTTAGAACTAAGACTCATGTCTAGGTCTGATTCCAAAGCTTTGTTTTGAATCAAAGGACTCACTGAATCACATACCCTGAAACAAATGCTCTTTTGTTAAAAAGTACAGAAAAATAATGTAAAGAAATCTACATTTTAAAATGTTCAAATTATAAAACTATCTTAAAATGAGAATGTTAATTATTACAAAAATGGTCTGATGATTTTTTAAAGAAACACATGACAACATTTCTGTATCAAAAATGCAGTAAAATAATAAAAGAATAAAAGTTTGGATGTTGGAAGACTTTAGTTGTAGTACTTAAACGTTAGCCAGCCACAGTCTGGTAAATATCTTACCATTTCAGTGCCCTAGATTCTCTACCTAAAAGACAAATGATCTCACTTGTCCTATCTATACCACAAGAATAATACAATGACCAAAAGACCCATGTAAAAACAAACATATTGTTACAATGTAAAGTGACTAGGTAGACCCTGGTTTGAATTAACTGTAAAGTAAACAAAACACAACACAAAAGATTTTTTAAAACCACCTTTACAAAATCTAGGCTATCTAAAGAATGAAACGTACTCACTGTGTCAGTTCAAGTGTAGCTTTTCTGGAGAACATCCAAGCTACTTTTTCATCTTTATCTTTGGGGATGTCATTTTTATCCTCATAAGCCAAGAAATAGAGAGAAAATTTCATAGTAGGAAAATCTAATTTTTGGATTAGCCTGAGATCAAAACACAACAAGTCCGAATCATTAACAACAGGAAAGGCGGATTCATACTAAAATCAACATCACTTAATATTCAAGTTTTACTAAAAATAAGAACCATATATAATGAGGCTATTTTTATGGGAAAAGCAGAAGGAAAAATCAGTGGAAGAAATATCTTTTAAAAACCCTATTTATCAGCCGGGCTCGGTGGCTCAGCCTGTAATCCCGCGCCTTTGGGAGGCTGAGGTGAGTGGATTGCCTGAGCCCGCGGGTTCGAGACCCGCCTGGGCAACGAGACCTCATCTCTACAATAAATCAAAAAACCAGCTGGGCGTGGTAGCGCCTGCCTGTAATTCCGGCTACTCGGAAGGCTGAGGCGGAAGGATCACTGGAGCCCAACAGGTCGAGGTTGCGGTGGCCGGGAGCGGCCACTGCACTCCAGTCTGGGCGACAGAGTGAGACTCCAACTCAAAAAAAAAAAAAAAAAAACCCCTATTTATCTATAAATATCTGAAATACAAAAAAAGAAAACCTTTGTAATTAGTCGATTCCTCAAACATAATAAAATTAAGTTGAAAGTATGGTACATGTTTATAAATGGAAACAGGTACCTTCAAAAGAGCATTTTCTTTAATTTTAGTGAAAAATATAATGTACTACCTTATTGTTTATATATATAAACAATATATATAAACAATATTGTTTATTGTTATTTATATATATAAACAATACGGTTTATAAAACCATTCAGTTAAATAAACACATTTATCGAGTTCTTACTATGCCAAAACTTCTAGAAAAGAAAATTGAGGCTATGTGGTAAGGGAGAAGGAAGAAGGACATTAATATCACAGAAGACATGCATGTCAACAATAAGGTGGTTAACAGTATCAAACACTGCAGAAAGGTCAAACAGGATTAAGGCTGAGAAAAGGTCACAAGATATGGAAAGATCCAGTGAGAGCAATTTCAGTAGGATGGGGCAGTGGAAGATGGACTGCACTGGACTAGGGACAGAGAATGGCAAGTGAGCAAGTAAAACAGCAGCAAGTATAGTTTACCTATAGAGATGGTCGGTGACAGTGGAAAGGTGGGCAAGAAAGCAAAGGGCAAGGAACAGTGTAGAACAGAGAAGACTTAAGCTTGTTTGTAGGATGAAGGGAAAGAATCTGTGAAAAAGAAGAGACTGGTAGGAGAGAAAGAGTGAATGAATTACTAATCTTGAGGATTTAAGAAAGATAATTGAAGTTATAACCTATAAGTTGACTCTAAAGAATGTGAGGTTATTTTGCAAGGTGCAAGGTAGAATGAGGATGCATATAACACAATGCTCTTTAGATTACTGAGGATTAAATGCTCAAAGATGACCTTCTTCATAATCCACAAATACAAATGGCTGAAGCATAGCAAATAGAGTTTCTAGAATTCTGCTCCAAATCTTTTAATTAATCACTGCTTCGTAATCTGTCTTGGCCCACTGAAATCTATGCATTGACTTACCATGATAATAAATAATAATTAATTATAATGGTAATAATTAATAATAAAGTATCAGACACCTCAAATACACCAATCATAAAAAATTATCTTTGCACCTACTAAGGCAGACTACACAAGACTTAGGCTTGCTAAGTCAAACGAAACGAAGCAAATGAACCTGTCATCACTTGCTTTTCTCAACTGAGCATATCTTCCATTTACTGTCAAATTGTGCCCTGTTTTGAGGTTCTTTAAAAACAAGGTCAACATTAGAGTCAATCAGACAATGGATTCAGATTCCAGTCCTACCATATGCCAACTGTGGGATTTGGGGACAGTAACTTCCATCACTTTAAGCTTCGGTTTCTGGCTGGGCATGGTGCTACATGCCTATAATCCCAGCATGTTGGGAGGCAGAGGTGAGAAGACTGCCTGAGCCCAGGAGTTCAAGACCAGCCTGGGTAACTTGGTGAGATGTCATCTCTACAATAAATAAGAAAATTATCCAGGCATGGTGGCATGAGCTTGTAGTTCTGGCTACTCGGAAGGCTGAGGTGAAGGATTGCCTGAGTCGTGGTTGTGCCACTGCACTCCAGCCTGGGCAACAGAGTGAAACTCTGACTCAAAAAAAGGAAAAAAGCTTTGGTTTCTTCATCTGTAAAGTGGGGATATAAGCCACCTCATAAGATTGATCTGTAAACTGAATGAAATGACGTGTGAAGTAGCTAGCAATATGTTCAACAAATTTGTTCAATAAATAATTTCTTAAAATAATTTGTTCAATAAATTTGTTTTTTATTCTTTCATGCCACAAATATAAGCTTAACTACTACTTCTTCTAGAAAAAAAAATCGCAAGCAGTTGTTAATAACAGTTATCTTTTGGGAGAAGAACTGGGAAAACCATTACTTTCATTCTGTATTTTTCTGAACTCGTCAAATTTTCCATACATACACTGTATTACTTAAATTTTTCTCTCAATGTCAATGGAGGTTATCTAGGTAGAACATTTAAAAATCATTATCTTATTCTTTATGTATCTATATGATCAAAAACAAACAAAAAGCTCACATTATTTAGGAAAGCAAGTCAACAAAATAAAATTATTTGTCAATTACATTTCATAAAGTTGGAAAAAAAAGAAAACAGCCTATAAAAATGGAACATATGGCCAGCTATAAGTAAACCAACTTATTTTCTGAGTAATAAATCTTTCTATCTGTGTCTTTTCTGAAGTAAGCAAGAGGCTAAAAGTGGTCAGAATATCAAAAGGGGACTGCACATATTCAGGACTTAGCTGGCAGCTGGCAGGGGGAATGGAGATTGGAGAAAATCCAAGTATTTGTGTCTTTTGTTGCCCATCGAGCCTGGCATGGACAGAGAAGAAAAGAAACTGGACAAAAGCCCTGTCCACTCAGTCCTAGTCACAAACTCCCGGCCAAAAGAACTTTTGTTACTACTGAAACAAACTTTAATTTTTAAAATGGGTCTGAAAATATTCCCTATATCAGCAAAGCTATATATTTAAACATTAAAGTGCCAATAAATACTTTTAGTACTTACGTCATTCCAAGAACTCTAGTATAAAAATCCAAAGACTTCTTAGGATCCTTAATTCGTAACATGGTCTGCTGTAATAGAAAATCCTAAAGAGAAATATTATATATTAAATACCCTTAATTCTTACCACTTATTACCAACATCAACTGTGCTTTCCCAAACAAGATACAAAAACACCCCACCATTGTAACACAATGTTTAAAAAAAAAGGAGACAAATTTTTGCCCTCAGCCTACCATGGAAATCGCCTAGAAACAGTTTCCATATCTACCATCTACAAATTCCTATGGCTTTCAGTCCAGTGGTGTTTTCTGGTTACAGACCCCTGTGTGGGGCAGGTTCAGAGTGCCAGGGAGTTTACACCCCAGAAATGACCCTCAACCAATGGTGGAGAAAAAATCTGGCATCCTTGCCCCTTATTGGGACAATTCTGGGGCATGCTCCACCAAGTCCCTCAGAGTTCCCTAGCAGGAATGAACCTCAGCTACCCACAGTAGTAATCCCCTCAAATATACCTATTATTAGCCTCACTCCCACACTCCAAAGAGCTCTTTGTGACCATTTCCCAAATAAACTACTTACAACCACACCCTAGTCTGCTTTTGGGTGACCCAAACTAAGACATAGATCCTAGACTCTTAAATAACTAAAAGAGTAAATGGTTACTGTCAGTCGGGCTCGGTGGCTCAGCCTATAATCCCACGCTTTGGGAGGCTGAGGTGAGTGGATTGCCTGAGCCCGTGGGTTCGAGACCTGCTTGGGCAACTTGGTGAGACCTCATCTCTATAATAAAAATCAAAAATTAGCCGGGCGTGGTAGCGCGTGCCTGTAGTTCCAGCTACTTGGAAGGCTGAGGCGGAAGGATCGCCGGAGCCCAGCAGGTCGAGGCTGCGGTGGCCGGCAACGGCCACTGCACTCCAGTCTGGGTGACAGAGTGAGACTCCCACTCCAAAAAAAAAAAAAAAATGGCTACTGTCGCTAACACCTTAGTGAAACCATTCAATTCACCTATCAGGAAAGAGAAAGCTTGATTGAGAAAAAGGTAGAGTATATAAATTCACGCAGTTAAGATTATTATTAGCATTAATGATACTGTTTTACTTAGGAGTTTAACTTCATTGGGTACAATAACTCTGTGAAGTTTTATTTACCTATAAATATTCATATTCCCATTTTATAGATGGAAAACTGACTCTGGGCAATTAAATGAATTGTCCAAAGCTTCTAATTCTAAGTTCAGGCCTCCTTTTACCACAAGTACTTCCAGACCATGAGTCTGTTAACCCCATCAGTGCTTCCAAATAGGTTTTTTTCCCCTGTTATACACATATTCATTTTTTTCTCTCCTTGTAAAAATTTGTTATTTTTTTCTGTGATCTGCTCCCAGCTGCCATTTTTTCTGTTTTCTGTTTATTTCTGTTGTTCTCTGGACTTGACAAATAGGTCTGAAAATTTTGGCTACTCCCTTTGCAGCCACATGCCATCTCTCTTATAACTCACATCATATAAAATACAAATATACTTCTATACTTCATTTGGTATCGCTAGAAAAATGTATTTTTCTATTTTGCTAAATTTTAAGTAGCCAAAATGTATTCTTTTAAGCATTAAAATTCTCATTTAAAACAAAACTAAGGCTGGGCATGGTGGCTCATGCCTATAATCCTAGCACTTTGGGAGGCCAAGGCAGGAGATTGAGCCCAGCCTGGGCACCATAGCAAGACCTCATCTCTACAAAAAAATTAAATAAAAAAAAAAAATCAGCCAGGTGATGGCATGTGCCTACAGTCCCAGCTACTCAAGAGACAGAAGCAGGAGAATTGCTTGAGTGCTGGTATTTGAGGCTGTGGTAAGCCATGATTGTGCCACTGCACTCCAGCCTGGGAGACGGAGTGAGACCCCAACTCTAAACAAATAAACAAACAAACAAACAAAACAAAACTAGGCTAAAACTACTATATCTTGTTAGAACTGGTCTTAATGAATATAATAATTAAATTTTTATTCACAGTTTATCATCATATAGAAAGCAAGTTACAAGTTTCTTGAATATTTGGGTTATTCTTCTCAGTCAGATGCCACAGTGTTGAAGGTCTCAGTTTTAGCAGGCAGCTGAGAAAGAGAAAAGCAGCTCTTCACATCCAGGCATTGGTCTGGCACTCACAGCTAGGCCTTGGTTAACTCCACCTACAAAGTTACTCTGACTACAACAAAATGAGGCTACAAATTTTTTTAAATTTTTACATTTTCAAAGAAGAAGCAAGACCACTTCTACTTAGTATTCTTATGTAAGCACAGATTAACACAGGGTACTGTGAACACTACAAAAATAACAAACATTCCTCTTTTTGGCTGATGTAGGTGACTGCTTGCTTCTCTATCAGTTACCATGTTTGTTTCAGGAGACCAACTCCAGGACAAAATCCTAATGTAATCTTTCAGGCTGGACCACAGGCATGCCATAGGCTTTAGCTGGCAGGCCTCACGGAAAAAACTGTCCTCCCCACCCCAGATGTGGTACTGAAGCACTCTGGAGGGAGTTGCAGGCAAAGACTAAATTCTAAAGATGTCCCTGGTTCTTCTATCAGACACTAACTTAGGTGCTGCTGTGAGGGACTCTGAGATGTAATTAAGGCTGTTCATCAGTAAACCTTGACATAGGGAGGTTAGCCTGGATTATCTATGTGGGTTACGTGTAATCACACAAGACCTTAAAAGCAGAAGAGATAGGCAGAAGAGAGATGTGGTAGCAGGGGGAGTTGGAGAGATTCCACCTGTGAGAAGGAGTCAACATGCAGGGCTGGCTCTGAGACCAAGGGGCACATGTACAAGCAGTTAAAGGCAGACAACCTCCACAGCCCCCATCAGCTGACAGCCTGCAGAGAAACTAGGACCCCACTCCATTCTACAACTGGAAGAAACTGAATTCAGGGAACAACCTGAATGAGTTTAGAATCAGATTCTTCTCCAGAGCGTCCAGTAAGGAATAATACCTTGATTTTTTGATCAGAGGACCCATGCTGAACCTCTAACCTACAGAATTATGAGATAATACATTTCCAACCAAGCTGCATCCAACATTATTGTTCTCTTTCAGTTAAAAAAAAGTAGAAAATCTAAAAACCACCTTTAAAAATCTGTTCTGTCATGACCCAGTTCATATGGTCTCTTCAACATCCTTCTAATAGCAACATCAGTATTGTTAGACAAAAATGACTTTACCATTACTTCTATTCAGTCAATACAGGATACACTCAAATCCATGTATCTTAGGTACACAATGGTTTTTGCTTTAGGTGCCGTGTCTAGTACTTGCCAAAGCTGGACAACCCTACTGTCATATCCTTCTCCCTAATCTATCCTACCCTTGTCCTAATAGCAGTAATCAGGTTTTTTTGGGGGGCAGGGAATCATTCTCCAAATTTAAAGAACAAAACTACTGTGAGAAAACCTTAAAGGTGCAACAATCAAGAATGTTTTCAGTGCACGTCCTACCTGCCTATAACATAATCCTAACAAAAATTTACCAAAGTGAAACAGGGATGTGAACTAAAGGATTAAGATTCCTTTGAGCATGTCTTTTTTTTTTTTTTGAGATGGAGTCTCACTCCGTTGCCCAGGCTGGAGTTCAGTGGCACGCTCCCGGCCACCGCAGCCTTAACCTGCTGGGCTCCAGTGATCCTTCTGCCTCAGCCTTCCAAGTAGCCAGAACTACAGGCACGCACTACCACGCCCGGCTCATTCTTTCTTTATTGTAGAGACGAGGTCTCACTAAGTTGCCCAGGTGGGTCTCAAACCCGCTGGCTCAGGCAATCCACTCGCCTTGGCCTCCCAAAGTGCTGGGATTACAGGCTGAGCCACCAAGCCCGGCCCCTTTGAGCACTTCTAAGTGGATTTTTTTGGTATAAGGGATGAAACTTGACTAGAGCTTCATTTTTAATTCTATGTATGTCCAATTGCTCCAGGACTGTTTGTTGCAAACGCTATCCTTCCTCTGTTGAATTGCTTTTGTATCTTTGTCAAAAATCTGTTGGGCATATCAGTGGGTCTATTTCTGGGCTATTTATCAGGGTCACAGAGTAGTTATAACTACAGCTTATAAGTCTTAAAATGGGGTAGACTGATTCTTCCCATTTTATTCTTTTTCAAAATTGTTTGGTATTCTAGTTTTTCTGCCTTCCATATAAACTTTGAAATAATCCTGTCTGTGCCTTTTTAAAAAGTATGATAGGAATTATGTTAAATACATATATCAATGTGAGAATGACATCTTTACTATGCTGAGTATTCCAATCATGAACACAATGTATCTCTCTATTTATTTAGATCTTCTTTGATTTCTTTTATTGCATTGCTGTTTTCTGTATACAATGTCCTGAAATATTTATTAGATTTCTATCTAAGTTAATTAATTCCAAGTTGCCTGGGCTGGTCTCAAATACGCGGGCTTAGGCAATCCACTCGCCTCAGCCTCCCAAAGTGCTGGGATTACAGGCTGAGCCACCCAGCCTGGCCAATAGTATTATGTTTTTAATTTTGGTGCCCATGTGCTCTTTGCTAGTATATATAAACACAATAGATTTCTGTATTTTTTTATACTGCAACTTTGCTGAATTCACTTATTAATTCTAGGAGTTGAAGGGTATGGTGGCTCAAATCTGTAATCCCAGCACTTTGGGAGGCGCAGGTGAGAGGATTGCCTGAGTCCAGGGGTTCAAGACTAGCCTGGGCAACTTGGAGAGACCTCGTCTCTACAATAAATTAAAAAATTAGCTGGACGTGGTTATGCGTGCCTGTGGTTCCAGCTACTTGGTAGAAGGATTGCCTGAGCCCAGTGGGTCGAGGCTGTGGTGGCCAGGAGTATGCTACTGCACTCTAGCCTGGGAGACAGAGTGAGACTCTAACTAAAAAAAAAATTTTTAGCCGGGCTCGGTGGCTCAGCCTGTAATCCCGCGCCTTTAGGAGGCTGAGGTGAGTGGATTGCCTGAGCCGGCGGGCCCGCCTGGCAGCGAGACCCGCCTGGCAGCGAGACCTCATCTCTACAATAAATCAAAAAATCAGCCAGGCGTGGTAGCGCATGCTTGTA